CCCCACAGAGAATTCAACACTGAAGAAGACTCCCAAAATCAGCCCTACAGATGGAAATTTAGGGAAGCCAGAATTGTAGATTGTGATACCTGGGGATTTAGCCAGAATACGTCTATTCTGAAAAGTCATTTTCTTGCCTTGAGAGATAATACAATGTGTAAGCTGTGCTTCCTAAGGCAGTTTCAATAGGAAATAATTCTGATTGACGGTTTTCATATCAGCAAACCACATGCCCTGACTTTTGTATGGGGTAATAATATGGGCTACTACCATATTGAGGTGTGACATTTCTGGTATTTATGACTGGTATTTTTTTTTTTTTTTTTTTGAGATAGAGTTTTGCTCTGTCTCTCAGGCTGGAGTGCAGTGGCATGATCTTGGCTCACCGCAACGTCTGTCTCCCAGGTTCAAGTGATTCTCCTGCCTCAGTCTCCCAAGTAGCTGGCTGGGATTACAGGCACACACCATCAAGCCTGGATAATTTTTATATTTTTAGTAGAGACAGGGTTTTGCCATGTTGGCCAAGCTGGTCTCGAATTCCTTACCTTAGGTGATCTATCACCTTGGTCTCCCAAAGTGCTGGGACTACAGATGAGCCACCACACCTGGCCTGATGGATTTATTCTTAAAGTGTGGAGACACCTGTCTTTGGATCCGATACTGTGTTTTAGAACTTGACCTTCCTCAGTCCCAAGTTCTTCTTCATAGTTACTTCAAAGTCTATCTGCTAACATTTAAACTCGAGTCTGTTTTCAAAGACACGTCTTAAAAGGAAAGGCCACTTATTATAATGACTGCATTACAGAATCCAGTTATATAAGACATCTACCTTCCCAGCCATCCTTTGCACTGGCTACTATTTAAATAAATTTGTACTTCCCAGGTACATCCTAACTCCACAAATAGAAAGTGGCCAGGGTGGCTGGGATGACTGACCCCAAGAATCTGATTTAGGCTTTGACCTTAGGCTTGGATACTCCATCCAAAAGTTTATTACCATTTGGCTTGAGTAGAATGGAGAACTGAGAAAGTCATTTCCTCTTGTTCTTTTCTTTGTGAAAGAAGAAACAGCTGGCTTTCCTTGCAAGAACTTAGCCTCACCAAGACTTCAACCTCAGGCATCACTCTTTGAGGATTTTATCCCAGACTCCAGTTCAAAGCTCACTGCTTCCAAACTGTTATAGTTTTTCTTGAGACAGGATCTTGCTCTGTTGCCCAGGCTGGAGTGCAGTGTGCATCATCATGCTCAGCTTTTTATTTTATTTGTATTTTTTGTAGAAACCATGTTTCCTTATGCTGCCCAGGCTAATCTCAAACACTTGGGCTCAAGCGATCCTCCTGCCCTAACCTCCCAAAGTGCTGGGATTATAGGCGGGAGCATGACACCCAGCCTGGAGAGGGCTATAGAGTGGCAGCAGAGTGGGCAAGCACAGAAGCGACAGAGGGAAATCACCTCAGAGTCAGTCTCCCTTGAACACAGAGAAAGACCCAAAGTGGCACTATTCATGGGGCAATTCATCACATTGGCCTGTGCTCTCATGCATCGTATTCATCCATTATGTATCAATTTCTATTCACAGTAATAACTGTTAACACTTAACTGTTCGCAATAATAAGCATCATATGGCTAACATTTATTAAACCCTTATTAAATCACCAGACCCTGTATTAAGGATGCTTTTAGCATTGTCTCAATCCTCCCAGTGACCATGAGGTTATTATCCTCATTTCGTAAAAGACAAAACAGACCTAGAAAATAAAGTTACTTGCTCAAGGTCACACAGCTAGCCCAATCTTGATCCCTAGACTCTGAATCCAGAAACTGCTCTCTTAGGTTAAAAAATTCTATTAAACCTAGCATAAATCCTCTTGCATATAACAGGGCTGTCACAACTGAAAAATGGGATGAAGAACGGACATTTCTCTGTTTGCACATCTCCTTCTGACATCCGTACCTTCCCATGCCCCAACCCTCTCCACCAGTTCTGCCTCAACCATGTTGAGTTGATAGATCTATTATGCAAACAAGTCTTCCAAAAGGAAAATCGAAACCCAAGTGTCTATTTGAATGTAACCAGAGAGCAGCCGATATCTGTATTTAAGACGCTGGAATAAAGGCAGCTGTGTTTACCTCCACACAGGCACTTGCTGATGTGGGAGGGCTGGCTTTATTCCACTTGGGACATCCAGGTCACACCAATGCCTGGGAGGTACTTCACATCCTCAGTGATATTCCACATCTCTGATGTGAAAGTCTATCTCCATCCTCTGGCCTTCTCTAATACAGTGTGGCTAGAATGGAAGGTATAGAAACATAGGGAAGGAAAGCTCCGATTTTTTTTTAAGCTTTGGCTTATTCTGGGCTCAATTTATATCTGAGCAAATGGTTTCAAATCTCAGCCACATGTATTTCCCACTAATCTGAAAAATCACTCAAGACAGAGGAACATCTAACCATCCTAACTCCAGCACTGGAAAGGAGGGCTGGGGGAGTGTCGTGCTCTGCAGGAGGGGTGTTAGTCACAGGACATGATAAGAGGTGGGCTCCCAGAGACCTCGGGAAAGGAATGACGGCAGAAAAAAAGATCAGGAACCATCAGCTTAATCCTTCTCGGAACGTAAGACATCTCTTTCTGACACTACAATCTAGTGCAAAGAACAAAGGTGTTGCTATGCATCTCCCCAAAATTTATATGTCAAAGCCTTAACCGCCGCCCCTTCCCTGCAATTTGATGGGATTTGGAGAGGGGCCTTTCAGAGATACTTGGGGTTAGATGAGGTCATGAGGATAGGGCCCGCATGATTAGTGTTCTTCTGAGGGACATCAGAGAGCTCTCTCTCTCGCCATCAAATGCAAAGAGGTCATGTGTATACACAGACTGTGGCCACCTGCAAAACAGGAAGAGGGCCATCACCAGGAACAGAAATGACCGGCACCTTGATCTTGGACTTCCCAGCCTCCAGAACATCGAGAAATAAATTTTTGTTGTTTAAGTCATCTAGTCTGTGGTATTTCTTATGGCAGCCCAAGCAGACTAATACAGGTATCTAGGTCAGAAAGGATTTCAAATCCTGATGCCACTGCTCATTGCTGTGTGACTTTGGGCAAGTTATTTAGTTTCTCTTATGTATGATTTTCTTCTTTGTCATCTCCTCATAACAAAGTGCTGTGGGGAGAGTTGAATGTGTTCACCTAGGAGGAAGGCGCCTAGCATTTTCTGCAACTCAACACCCCGAAGCATCAATGCCTCCCTGATGCATGCAATGGCTAGTATTAGGAAAGGGTAGCTTCTTGGCCATATTCAATCCACAGATGTGTTTTGTTTGGCCTGCACCAATGTTTGGGGAAATCTGGATTATTTACCAACATTTAAAAGTCAGAACATTTCACATAAAAATCCCAATTTCCAGTTCTTCTTGGAAAATAAGTTGTATCACTGGCTGTGCTCTGCCAGGGTAATCCTCTTCGGACAGAGGGCAAGATCTCACTGCCAGGCACCCACGCCAGCTTCACCCACTCAGAAGACCTGCTTGGTGCCTGAAGGCTTTTGAGTTAGCAGTCCCTGGGCTACCTGGGCTGGTGAACTCTGGCTTTGCCTGTACTTCTCCCAGCTGTCCACAAACAGACATTTTAAGTACAATTTCAGGATCAGCCTCCCAAAGTGAAGCACATTGCTGAGTCACTGTTTTATTTATTTATACTTCTATTGTGAACTAAAGAACCTCATGGAAAGGCCAGAGTTTTAGTTCTTGGAGAAAAATGAAGCTTTACAACTTGGGGGTTGGCTGACCCAGCTTTGCCCCCATCACTCAACTTCTTGGGGCCTCAGTTTCCTCCTTTGTAAAATGAGGCCTTGGGCTAGATATCTTTTGTCTCTTTCCATATTTATGTAAGTATGATGTGAAATTCAAGAACATGGGTGGAAATTTAACACAATTATAAAGATGTTAATGAAAGTAGAGCTCTTAAAACACCTCCCTGACCTTAACTAGCTGTAAACTAAAGAGGACCAGAACAATGGACTTGTTTATTGTTCTGCCCACTCCAGGGTTGGACCTTTAGCCTTGATGTTCTGCACTTAACATATCCAGAAACAAATGAATGCCAGGGCATTAAAAGACGTGATGGATCGATCTCCTATCCCTAGGAGATTCTGGGGCAATGAGCCCTGCCTGACTTCCTGCTCCCATTTCACCAAAACACAGACCTAACTGCACAACTATCCACCTTCTGGTGCTCTATGCACGGGAATGGGCCTTATCTTGATTCCTTGCTCATTGCAACCACAGGAACTTTGCATGTGCCGTTTCTACCAACTGGAGCCCTCTTCACCTAGGTAATTCCCATGGATGTGTCAGATCACAGCGGCAGCATCACATGCACCATTCCTGGCTTCCTTGGCAAAACTCAAGTCATTCTAACATGCTTTTATCATGTCAGCTGTGTTGGAGGAGCTGTCTTAGTGGCACGTTTGCATTTCACACATGTGGCTAGTTGACTAATGATTCTCTTCCCAGTGAATATAAATCCCATGGGGGCAGGGTCCGTGTCTGTCTTTGGTCCTTGTTGCCTCTCCAGTGCCTGGCCAACAGAGAGGCACTCAAATATTTGCCGGTAAGTCACTTAGTAAAAGGAAGAACAGCAATAGAACCCCAAGCAGTCTGGTTCCAACCACTAAGCCTTTTACGGTGCCTAATGGTTAAGGAAGGGCACAATAAACGCTTACAGCATAAATGGCAGCTTCCATCTATCAACACCCTATCCCTTCCCCAACAAAACATACTATGTACTGAACAAACAATTCTCTCTGGATCAGAAGTCTAGGCAGATACAGGTCTCAGAACTCAATGGCCATGAAAGTCGCATAGGACAGAAGAAGCAATAAGAACCATAAGAACCAAGCAGGAAAAAAAACCCATAAGCCTCCTAAGGGGGCAGCCCCTTTGCCCCTGCTCAGACTTATAGGGGAAAATGGCACCAAGTCTGGCCTGCCACATACCTGATGTTTTCGTTCAGGGCATAGAGCTCGTTGCTTTGCAAGCCACCCCCTTTGAAAACGTTGATCACAGCAGTCTGAACGCTACAGGAAAAGAGAATAACCCCCGGTTAGAGAATCTCCCTTCTAGGGCCATTTCAATGAGCAGCTCAGGGCTGAAGGTGGGTGGAGTGACCAGGAAGCTCATGGCACAAACCTGGCCACACTCTCCAACCAGCCTCCGTTTCCTCCTCAGTGTCCTTGGAGAGAAAGAAGACCAAAGCCGAAAGAACTCAAAAGCAGCCCCCGTTTTCTTGCAAGCCAGCAGGTCTTCCTCCCTCACCTTGCTGGCTGCCCTGCAGGTGCAGCCATAGTCAAGGGCAGGCAGTGGGATCTGATCGCAGGAAACCACGTGGGCCTGAGAGATTCCAAATGGTGTTTCCTGCAAGCAGAAGCTGACCTGTGCCTGGGGTTCTTTCACAGCCACTGTCTTCACAGGGAAGCCTGGTGGCCTTGAGCTAACATGAACCAGTAATTCCTTGCCTTTTTAACAGCACTTTCCTTGGAAGAATTTCCAGCAGGCCAGCCTGACAAGGCCCTCCTATTTCCACTCCTGTGAGGCGTATGGTAGTAGAGTCAGTCAGGACTTACTCCACAGCCTCTGGGACCATAGCCCAGTGTTTCAGCAAAGGAGCTGCTTGCCATCTTGTCTCTATCAAGGGCCCTGGCCTTTTCTTTCTTTCTTTCTTTCTTTTTTTTTTTTTTTTTTTGAGACAGAGTTTTGCTCTTGTCGCTCAGGCTGGAGTGCAATGGCATGATCTCGGCTCACTGCAGCCTCCACCTCCCAGGTTCAAGCAATTCTCCTGCCTCAGCCTCCCCCTTTTCTTTAAAGAACAGGGATCCATTTAATACCAAAACATTTTAGAGCCCCCCCTCCCTACCTGTATCAGAGCCAGGCTTTCTGTGTTCATTCATTGAAGATATCCATAATGGTCTGGTCATGGTGTCTCACACCTGTAATCCCAGCACTTTGGAAGGCTGAGGCAGGTGGATCACCTGAAGTCAGGAGTTCAAGATCAGCCTGGCCAACATGGTGAAACCCTATCTCTACTAAAAATACAAAATTAGTCAGGCATGGTGGCACACACCTGTAAACCTAGCTACTCGGGAGGCTGAGGCAGAATTGCTTGAACCTGGGAGGCAGAGGTTACAGTGAGCCATACTTATAGGGGAAAATGGTGCCAAGATCGCACCACTGCACTCCAGCCTGGGTGACAGAACAAGACTCCGTCTCAAAAAGAAAAAAAAGAAAAGAAAATATCCATAGTGACCCAAAGTACAAAGAGTTCAATCATGCTTCAAAGTAATGATGCATTTAATTTCTCCAAATAGTATCTGCAAAGATTTGAAAAACAGTAGCCCATAAGCATGTAAGACATAGTGCTGATTCAGTCAGCCCAAAAGTTTGAGGCTGCAGTGAACTATAATTGCACCACTGCACTCCAGCCTGGGTGACAGAGTAAGACCCTGTCTCTACAAAAAGGAAAAAAAGAGAAAACTTGCTGTCATCATCATTTGCTTCCATAATCACTCAATTCTTGGTGCACAAGAGGTTGGCCGGACACCTAACAAAACTCTGTGTTGCCTCTTCCAAGCACCTGTGGTTCACAGGTCTTCATAATCTTTGGTTTATGCCATTCATTTAATTTTTCACAGACATGTTTTATCTTCCCAAATGGGAAGTAGGTTACTTAAGATTACTTATATAAGCCCACCCTCTGATACTCTGACAGTTTCAGGTGTGACTAATGAGCATGAACAGTGACTATAAATTCCAGTGCAACTGTCCCAGTCTGGTAAACTGACTCTGACAGGCCAGAGGCTCTCAGTGGTCTATTTTCTGACTACTAAAACAAAGAAAGCTAACAGACACCTGGATGTAAAAAAAAAAAAAAAAAAAAGTTCTTGTTCAGGTGTGGTGGCTCACATCTGTAATCCCAACACTTTGGGAGGCTGAGGCAGGTGGATCATGAGGTCAGCAGATCAAGACCATCCTGGCTAACACAGTGAAACCCCATCTCTACCAAAAATATAACAAATTAGCCAGGCATGGTGGTGGCCACCTGTGTTCCCAGCTATTCAGGAGGCTGAAGCAGGAGAATCGCTTGAACCCAGGAGGCAGAGGTTGCAGTGAGCTGAGATTGTGCCACTGCACTCCAGCCTGGGCGACAGAGTAAGACTGTCTCAAAAAAAAAAAAAAAAAAAACTTGCTCTCTTGGTCAGGTACAGTAACTCACACCTATAATCCCAGCACTTTGGAAGAATGAAATGGGAGTGATCTCTTGAGGCCAGGAGTTCAAGGCCAGCCTGGGCCGTATATAGAGCAAGACCCCATCTGTTAAAAAAAATTCTTTTTTAATTAGCAGGGCGTGGTGGCCTGCACCTGTAGTCCCAACTACTCAGGAGGCTGAGGCAGGAGGATTACTTGAGCCCAAAAGTTTGAGGCTGCAGTGAACTATAATTGCACCACTGCACTCCAGCCTAGGTGACAGAGTAAGACCCTGTCTCTACAAAAAAGGAAAAAAAGAGAAAACTTGCTGTCATCATCATTTGCTTTCATAATCACGACCTTCCCAGAATCAGCAGAAGCTCAGTCAGCCCCCGGTGCCTCCCTCCCTGCCGTGGCCCTTGGCAGCCCTCCATCCCACACCCTGCGGCCTCCTTCACCTGTTCCAGGCTGAGCTGGAGCTCAGCTGCAGAGTCTGCCGAGTTGCTTGGAATCGGGGCAGGTCACTGAGTACGGGGGAGCTCATGAAGCGCGGTCTAGGCCTGCGGAAGGAGCCCATCTTGTGGAACTCAATGGGCAGAATGGGAGCGAAGCCGCGGGTCATAAGTCCTGGTGACAGTTCAGCTTCACCTCTAGGATGGGAAGGTTCCGAATGCCCTCGGAAAGGGCTTCTCCCGTGGCTGCCTTCAGGCCCTCAGGCTTTCTTAAAACCACAAAGGTAGCCAACACCTGAAAAGAGAGGGCAGCTTTTATTGAGAACTCCTGGCCTGAGAACACCTATTAGAGGAAGTTGGTTGGGACTTCCCAGCCTAACTACCCCCAAAACAACTGCGAGATCTAGAAGGTTCCCATTCACAAGTCTATACAGGTCTCTTTTTGGTTGTAACAGTGTGGCCACCCTCAAATGGGAAGACAGTGATAATGGGGCCAGGCCAAGGCCAGTCCTGCAGAAAAATAATTTCTAAGCAGTGCTAGACTCTGGTTCCAATAGGCACCCATCAGTTGGGGCACCACCTGGGTTCTTGTGGTCCATGACGTTGTGCAGTAAGAGACGGATTTTTAAAAACGTCTCAAAGAGGACACAAGAGCTCCTCATCCTAGCATTGATGACCTTCCATGATACACCCTTACCACGCCAGTCTACGTGTACTGCTCAGATTTCCCTCAAATTATCAGTGTCTCGTCACTCAAGCACATCTCACCTTCTCTTACCTGCTGTTCCTTCCCTCATTTTATCAGGACACACTCACGGAGTGTTTGCTATTTAATAACCACTGTGACTTGTAGAACATCCAAAGATTTCTAAGACCAAATCCCTGACCTCAGGGGATTCGGTCTATGGAGAAGATAACCGTCTTTACAAGTATTCGCTCATGCAATAAATATTACTATGCACAGGCACTCAGGCACTGGGAGATATAAGATGGCTCCGGAGGCCATGGTGCCCTGCCCCATAGAGTTTGCAACCAGCAGGCACTGATCTGTGCCGTGCATAGTCCTTCCCCCACGCTTTTGCTCATACCAACTGCTCCTCTTGCCCAGAATTCTCTTCCTTTTCCTCTCTGCTTATTTAAACCTACTAACCCTGCAGGGTTGGGTTCAAGAACACTGTCTCCTTGTAGCAGTTCTTGGGAGACTTCATGGCTTCCTGGTTAAAGGCAGAGGCTACAGGTTTGAGTCTGAAGTTGGCCACTCCCAAGTTGTGTGACTTTGGACACACTGAGTCTAAAGTCCTCAGCTGTTACTAATGCCCACTTTCCAGGACTGGTGAGAGACAAAATGAGACTATGTGACATGCCCGGCAGCATGGCAGAGCCAAGGGCCTCAAGAGCTGGCTATTTCCATTCAGATGAATTTCTTTCTTTCCTCAGTGCCTTTGGATCCATAATTTCAGTCTCAGTCTTTAGTGACTCTGAAGTCTAAATGAATGACTTAAAAAAGTGGGTTTTAGAGAATTCAGCAGAGTGAAGGACAAAAGGAAATACCATGTAGCTGGGATTACAGGTGCCTGCCACCATGCCTGGATCATTTTTGTATTTTTTTTTTAGCAGAGACCCAGGGTTTCACCATCTTGGCCAGGCTGATCTTGAACTCCTGACCTTGTAATCCATCCACCTCAGCCCCCTCAAGTGCTGGTATTACATGCGTGACCCACTGTGCCTGGCTTAACGTTTTTTAATATATATTTTTTTAATGGAAAGCAGACTTATGTCCTGTTTTCTTGTATAGTCTTTGCCCCTTCACCCCATGCTCAGAATTTAACAGTTTTGTTAAACTTTATCAACACCTGTTAAGCTTCAGAAGGCCTTGGCAGCTTCATAAATGCCACTGCAACTTGGAAAGATCTACACAAATCAATAAATGAGGTGAAGAAGAAATAAAGCCACAGAGGGTCCTTCCGCATCCTTAAACTGGCTAGCTTTGGGGATTTAACTTGCCCAGTAAAGGTCACACTACTAAGACAGGATCCATTTCACTGCCCTTCTTCAAATGGGCCTGCTAAGTGCAATTCACCTGTGTAATTACAGGATATTAACTCCCTTTATGAGGATCTTAAACTTGAGGTAATGGAGCAGCCTCTCATTCCATGGCACTGGTACGAGGAAGTAGAAAAGAGAACAGAATGGATCGTTTCAGGTGTTTACCCACCACCTTCCTGACGAAACACCCACTTCTCCAGGAGGCTGTGAGACACTGAGGATGACAGGCTGGCTCCTGTCCCCCTTCACTTCTCAGTTAGTGTCCCCAGGCCTCCAAGTCCAGCAAAGTACCTGGGCAGCCCTTCTTAAATGAGGGTTATTTTCAGCCAAAAACTATGACTGTGGCTCTGGCAGCCTCAGATAAACTGCAGAGTCATACACGAGTTGCCACTGACTCATTTTTCTCCTCCCAAATCCACCACTCTCAATCCTTACAGGTGAAGAGAATGCAAAGCTGTCTTTGTCTCCACCATTCCTACTTCAGGGCAGAGCCAAGATACCTCCCCAGAGCACCACAGGGAGGAAGGAGGAGGCCGTTGGGAGCATTGACAAGAGTGGCCTAAAGGGAAAAGCTGATACACCCTGGGTTCACCTGCTACAGCGCTGATCCTGCAGGCACAGGCCTGTCCTGACCTAAATGTGACAAGTCAGAAAATGACAGAACAGATGGGGCCTTGGACTGGGGCCAATCCAGGTCCCATTTACAGGTGACAAAGGTATAGCAAAGAAGCAAAGAACTCTTCCAAGGTCCTCAAGGCAGGAAGAGAGGTAGGACTGGTGAGAGCTGTTCTCCAAGGGCCTGATTGAGCATGTTCCCCAGCTCCCACCTAGGCCATTCTGCAAACCTGAAGATAGGCATCGGGCTTTATTCACCTCTGTATTCTCAAGTCGGAGCTCACTGGTTAAAAAAAAGATGAAGGAAAAGATAAGAATTAAGAAGGCATCAGCTAGGCTGGGCGCAGTGGCTCATGCCTGTAATCCCAGCACTTTGAGAAGCCAAGGCAGGTGGATCACCTGAGGTCAGGAGTTCAAGACCAGACTGGCCAACATGGCAAAACCCTGTCTCTACTAAAAGTACAAAAATTAGCCGGGCATGGTGGTGCATGCTTGTAGTCCCAGCTACTCAGGCGGCTGAGGCAGAGGAATTGCTTGAACCCGAGAGGCAGGGATTGCAGTAAGCTGAGATCGCACCACTGCACTCCAGCCTGGGTGACAGAGTTACGCTTCTCTCTCTCTCTCAAAAAAAGGAGGCCTTTTCTGAGTTTGTGTCGTTTGTAGGGACATGGATGAATCTGGAGAACGTCATCCTCAGCAAACTGACACAAGAACAGAAAATGAAACACCGCATATTCTCACTCATAGGCGGGTGATGAAAAATGAGAACACATGGACACAGAAAGGGGAGTACTAAACACTGGGGTCTATTGGGGGGAAAAGGGGAGGGCCAGTGGGAGGGGGAGGTGGGGAGGGATACCCTGGGGAGAAATGCCAAATGTGGGTGAAGGGGAGAAGGAAAGAAAAGCACACTGCCATGTGTGTTCCTACGCAACTGTCTTGCATGCTCTGCTCATGTACCCCAAAACCTAAAATCCAATAAAAAATTAAAAAAAAAAAAAAAAAAAGGAGGCATTGGCTACCTGGCTGACATGAAGCCAGGCATTGTTACAATACCTAAACTTACTCAATCTCACAAAATACCACTTGAACAACAGAGAAGTTAAGTAACCTGCCCAAAGTCACACAGCTAATGAGTGACTGGTGCCTCATCCCCAGCCCATTCCTGCTTTTCCATGCTACCAAACTCAGCCAGAAAACCAGAATTGAAGCTATCAAGTTAGGAACTAAATGTCTTATCAAAAGTTTAATCTCATGCCCCTGAGATAAATAAACCAGCATGAGGAACTCTGTGACCACATTTCATGGGGCAAGAGGATGGTAAGAAAGGATGGAAGGAGAAAGTACAGCTGCCTTAGTTTGATAGATACCCACTCCCTACTAGCTGTGTGACCTTGATCAAGTTACTTGACCTCTCTGAGCCTTAAATTCCTCCCACATAAAATAACCTGAAATAACCCTGAGCGACTGCCTCAGGGTTGGAGGAGGATTAAATGAGTAAATATTTGTCAAGCACTCAGAGGCGGACCTGGCAAAGAAGTGCTACATAAGAGCTCGTTAAATAAATAAAATCACATTGTAATTATTTCTAAATTGCCAAGCCATGACAGCAGTGGGGATACAAAGACAGCCCCCTCTGCTTCTGGTGACCTCAGGAGCATCTGGAAATACTCCCCTGAGGAGCAGGCACTGGGCCCACATCCTGGTCACAGGGCACTCACGCTTGCCTCCTTAGGCCTTTGATAAATCATGACGTTATTTACTGACCCTTCACCTCTGTGTAGCAATTCCTCTGTGTAGTTTGTAAGTGTTTTTCCACACATGGTTGTGGTTCTAAGTCTTACCTCAGTCCTATAAGGCAGATGGAGCAGATAGTCTGTCACAAATTAGGAAACTGAGGCCTGAACAGGTGCCTGACCCGGCCAAGGCTAGAAAGCTATCAGGTGAGGGACTCAGCCCCAGCTGGAAGCCGCCCAGCCTCACACCTTGCTCACTGTTGTGCCTGCCAGGAGATTCCTTTTTCCTATATAATTTCAAACATTTTCATTATGAAACATACTTTAAAAGTTTATACACACACAAACATACATTTTAAATAATAATAATAGGCCAGGCACAGTGGCTCACTCCTATAATCCCAGCACTTTGGGAGGCTGAAGCAGGATGATTGTTTGAGTTCAGGAGGTCAAGACCAGCCTGGGCAATGTAGTGAGACCCTGTCTCTACAAAAAATAAAAATAAATTATTCAGGCACAGATTCTTAGCTACTCAAGAGGCTAAGGCAGGAGGATCACTTGAGTCCAGGAGTTCAAGGTTACGGTGAGCTCTGATCATGTCACTGCACTCCACTCTGGGCAACAGAGCAAAACCCTGTTTCTATTTAAAAAAAAAAAAAAACTAATAAATAGGCCGGGCGCAGTGGCTCAAGCCTGTAATCCCAGCACTTTGGGAGGCCGAGACGGGTGGATCACGAGGTCAAGAGATCGAGAGCATCTTGGTCAACATGGTGAAACCCCGTCTCTACTAAAAATACAAAAAATTAGCTGGGCATGGTGGCCAATGCCTGTAATCCCAGCTACTCGGGAGGCTGAGGCAGAATTGCCTGAACCCAGGAGGCGGAGGTTGCAGTGAGCC